CCGCCTGTACTTCTGGTAGTTCTCAGTCCACATACTGCTGGAGCCTAGCTTGTAGGATTTTGAGCACAACTTTGCTAGCATGTGAAATGAGTGCAATGGTGCGGTAGTTTGAACATTCTTTGGCATTGCCCTTCTTTGGGATTGGAATGTAAACTGATCTTTTCCAATCCTGTGGCCACTGTTGAGTTTTCTAAATTTGCTGGGATATTGAATGTAGCATTTTTACTGCATCATCTTTTAAGATTTTGAATAGCTCAGCAGTCTTATCTCTTCTAGCTATTCTCTGGAATTCTGCATTCAATTGGGTGTATCTTTCTCTTTCTCCCTTGCCTTTCGCTTTCCTTCTTTCCTCAGCTCTTTGTAAAGTTTCCTCAGACAGCCATTTTGCTTTCTTGCATTTCTTTTTCTTTGGGATGGTTTTAGTTGCTACCTCTTGTACAGTGTTGCGAACCTCCGTCCATAGTTCTTCAGGCACTCTGTCTATCAGATCTAATTGAGAGCCAGTGTGGCATAATGGTTGAGAGCATGGGACTGGGACTCAGATGATCTGGGTTCTAGTCCCCGCTCAGCCATGGAGCCAACTGGGTGACTTTGGGCCAGTCACAGACTCTCAGCCCAACCTACCTCACAGGGTTGTTGTTGTGGGGATAAGATGGAGGAGGAGAATGATGTAAGCTGCCTTGTGCCCTTTGTAGGAAAGGGGCAGGATATAAATCAATCAATCAATCAATCAATCAACCATTCCTTAAATCTATTTGTCACCTCTACTGTATATTCATCAGGGATATGATTTAGGTCATACCTGAATGGCCTAGTGCTTTTCCCTACTTTCTTCAACTTAAGCCTAAATGTTGCAACCAGAAGCTCATGATCTGAGCCACAGTCAGCTCCTGGTCTTGTTTTTACTGACTGAATAGACCTTCTCCATCTTTGGCTGCAGAGCACATAGTCAATCTGATTTCTGTGTTGACCATCTGGTTAAGTCCATGTATAGAGTCATCTCTTGGGTTGTTGGGAAAGAGTGTTTGCTATGACCATCATATTTTCTTGACAAAATTCTACCAGCCTGTGTCCTGCTTCATTTTGTACTCCAAGGCCAAACTTGCCTGTTATTCCAGTTATCTTTTGGCTTCCAATCCCCCATGATGATAAGGACATCATTTTTTGGTGTTAATTCTAGAAGATGTTGTACGCCTTCACAGAACCGGTCAACTTCAGCCTCTTCAGCACCAGTGGTTGGGGCATAGACTTGGACTGCTGTGATGTCGAATGGTTTGCCTTGGATTTGAACTGAGATCATTCTGTCATTTTGGAGATTGTATCCCAGTACTGCTTTTCCTACTCTTTTATTGACTATGAAGGCTACTCCATTTCTTTGGAGGGATTCTTGCTCTCAGTAGAATACCTGATGGTCATCTGAATTAAATTCACCCATTCCTGTCCATTTTAGTTCACTGATTCCTAAGAAGTCGATGTTCTGTCTTGTCATCTCTTGTTTGACCACATCCAGCTTGCCTTGATTCATGGATCTTACATTCCTGGTTCCTATAGAGTATAGATCTTTGCAGCATCTGACTCTCCTTTCACGACCAGAGACATCTGCAACTGAGTGTCCTTTCGGCTTTGACCCAGTCGCTTCATTCTTTCTGGCGCAACTAGTACTAGCCCTCCGCTCTTCCCCAGTAGCATATGGGACACCTTCCGACCTGAGGGGCTCATCTTTCGGCGTCATATCTTTTTGCCTTTTGGTACTGTCCATGGGGTTTTCATGGCAAAGATACTGGAGTGGGTTGTCATTTCCTTCTCCAGTGCATCACGTTTTGTCAGAGCTCTCTGCTGTGACCTGTCTGTCTCGGGTGGCCCTGCACGGCAGAGCTCATAGCTTCATTGAGCCACCCAAGCCCCTTCACCACGGTAAGGCAATGCCCCATGAAGGGGAAGAGCATGTAGAGAACCCTTATATTTAGGCTTAATGTTGCCACAGTATCTTCCAGTTTATTCTGATTGATTCACAGTTCCATGCGAGAGATGATTATTCATGCTGGCTAGATTGAATGCCATTCTGTCAGGAGAGCGATTGGGACATTTAAATAAGGTGCCTTATTCTGAGCAGAAGTGTCACTGTGGTTCTGGCCAAATAGACTCTCTCCAACACTATCTATTTCAAAGCGAGTGGCTTCACGTGGCAAGAGGTAGCTGGATAAAAATGTATATTTGGGACTCCAGATGCAATTTGGATAAATTGAGGTTTCTTTGGGCAGGGGTAGATTTGAATATTACACTGGCAGTTGCCATGTTCTTTTCTCAGTCAATTATAATTTAAAAGTACTAAATGTTTAATATCATGTAGATACACCCATCAGTAAACTCTTTTATATTTAGTCGGTGATGTTGCTCAGAGCCGAATTGGTTGTATGAGCAGTATTATTAAAGTAATACAAAATGCGGGGAATCAAGAGCCCCAGGGCAGCCCTTCCCTGCAGAGCACAGAGCATAGTTCAAAGTGCTGAACCTATTCTAGCAATTATGCAGGAAAGCCCGTTCCAAGGGAGTCCCTGAGCATCCCTCGCAAGACTGACCCCGTTTCTGGCTCCGGCTGCCAATTCCTGCCTTTCCACACTCTCCTTCTTGCAGAATCTAGCTAACACCCAGCGGGAGGAGACAGTGGCTCAGTCCAGGCGAATGCATCAGTTACTGGAAAAGCAAGAGAAGCGTCACCTGGCCCAGGTGGATGAGCTGGAGAAGGAGATTGCCAGGAAAGGGGAGGACCACCTGGCCAGACTCTACAGGGAACTCTCTTCCCTTGAAGGCATCATGCGGAAGGTGGAGGAGAAGAGCCGGCAGCTGAACTCCTGCAGGTAGGAGGGGGCAGGAGCCCCCACATCCCCCAAGGAGGAGACTCAGCCAGATGCTGCTCACCTCTGTGTGTGGAGGGAGGGCCGAGGCAGGCAGTGTGGACCCTTTGATGGGGCCACCCTGTGGTGAGGCCCTTCATGAGACCCAGGCCGAAGCAGAGGGTCGTGCGGGGCTGGGGAAGCGACCGCAAAGCAGTCTGGCCTAGTGGTGTTGCCAGTCCGGAAGGCAGGTCGGATCTATTCCTGTGCGAAACAGAATCCCAAATATGTAGCAGCTCCAGGACTGACAGACCTTAACTTCACTCTTCATGCATGTTTCAGCTCACAATTGCTCTCAGAGCAGGCGTATGAGGGGGAGCACGTCACGGATGGCGCTGTTGCCGAGGTCTCCAATATTCTTCCGGTTTGGGGATGGAAAGGACGGATTTGTTCCCGCTTGGGGCAGCCCAGGAGAAGGCTGCCCTCCTGAAAGCCAGGCAGACGCCCAAAGCGAAAGAGTGTGGGACGCATCTGGCCTGGTCATTGTTTCCCCGGCCCACGTCCTTTGGCATCTTCCCCTCCTTGCAAACTGCTGCACTTTTGTGCATGTTTCTAGGGGAGCAAAGTCCATGTCAGGCGGACAAGCAGTGCCGTGACAGAATCCCGGAATCTCAATTTGAGAAGAGGGAATAAAACTCGGGTTCGTGGGAAAGATCAGGCGTCCAGACCATCTGTGGCTTTATTGTCTTACCCAGGTTCCCCGCGGGTCCACAGTCACGATAATGCATTACCGGGCAGGCAGAGGTGAACTCTGCTGCCAAGCTTCAACACCATTACAGGGCATTTATACCCTCCCAGGTACAGGGCAATTGATGACAGAATGCAGAGATTACAATAAGGTTCTGAGGTCATCCCATACAGAACAGATAAAGGAATGTCAGTCATTCACACAGTAACAATGAGATCACAATATTTCAAATTGCAGTGTATTGACATTTTAGTTGAGTAACTTGAACCCATCTCCAGGTCTGCTCAGACATGTAAATTCAAGCTATTGAGAAACTATTCATGATAAGCTCAAACCCTTATCTAGACTCTAGACATTCTGAGTGACCAGGGCACATGAAGCGGGAGAGGCCCTCCTCCGGGAGCCCTCAGTGAAGGAAATTAGGAGGGTGGCTACTCGGAGGAGGGCCTTCTCTGCGGTGGCGCCTAAGTTATGGAACACGCTCCCCAGAGAGGTCTGCCTGGTGCCGTCGTTATTTGTTTTTCGGCGCCAGGCTAAGACCTTTTTATTTAAGCAGCATTTTAAATGTTAATACTATTGAATTTTATTTGGCCAGGGCGGCTTATTTTATTCTAATGTATATATTTTAATTGTTATTGTCTTAATTTATTGTGTATTTTATTCTATGCTGTGAGCCGCCCCGAGGCTTCGGCAAGGGGCGGCATAGAAATGTTTTATTAAAATAAATAAATAAAATAAAAAAGCCTCTGGGCTATCAAGATACAATGATTATTTAACAATTGTGAAGGTATACAATGTAAATTTGGACTAAATGGCCTGTCTACTGTAGCTCACAGCTAAAGGAGAGAGAAAGGAGCGGGGGAAGGATGCCATTTTAAACAAGTAACAGCTTGGTTTTGAGAAGGAAGACAGGATTTGATCCCACAATGCAAAAGGACACAGAAGTAATGCTTTTCAGACAGGATTTACCCAAACTTTCCCAACAGCCATTACCTACAGCAGCTTCCAGGATGAGCACAACTGTGCATTGATCCCAGTTGAGAGTTGGAGGTTTCTCTGAAATGCTGAAATCTCGTGATCTTTTTCCTTCTCCATCATGCATTTTGTCCACATGCCTCCCAGTGTTAAACTGCTTGTGTCTGGTTTGTGGGTGTTTCGAAAGGATCTGACTGACCACTCTGGGAACCGGATCCTGAACTAGATTCCACAGGGAAGGAATCTAGGAGCCATTCCCTGCATTCCAAGTAGGCTTCCTTGGCAGAGAGCATCAAAGAAAAACCGATTACACAAAGAAAAAATGTGCCCATGCAAAGAAAGGAAATTGAGGCCCCCTCTAGCTGCCAGCACATCCGGAGACACCCAAGGGAGAGATGGCTTAACATGCACCTCAGATCCTTGCTCTTGTGGAAAGCCAGGAATGCAACAAAGTCTTCCTATTCCACCTTGGGGGAAGTTCTGTCCAATCTCCTCAGTTCTTGTGCGGAGATGATGAGTAGGCCAGGGCACATCTCCAGAGAGTGGTGGGTGACCTCTGAGCTCTCTCCCCTTTTTCTCTTTTCCCCTCTAGGATGTGCGAAGCATCTTGCAGAGGTGAGTGCGTCCCCCTCGTTTCCACTGGGGCAGGGAAGGGTCTGGACGGCACTGGCAGAACCTGCTCCTCCAGGCTCCTGAGCAGAGAACGCAGATCACCAGCCTCTCTCAAGACTAAAACAGGGTCTGGTGGTCGGGTTTGGATCACTCCTCCCTCCTTCCCCTGCATCACACATGGTGGAAGGCTCTTCTCTGCCAGCAAAGCACACCTCCCTCCACTAAGCTCATATATGCAGACCCCACAATCCAAATATCACCCCAAAGGGGCAAACTTCCCACACCCCACAAAGCACATGCAGAGCTGACCCTAAGCATAACTGAACACAAGCAAAATGCCCCAACTGCCCCAATCAGCTGAAAGCCCGCCCACCTGTGTGGCTGCTGGAGGGTTCTCTGGGGGCCAGTGCCCCCCCCCCCAAAGGGAGGCCCAGCTTTAGTTCTGAGCTGGCTCTGCTTTGCTCCCAGAGGGAATACCGGGTTGCATGAGTGGAGCTTACCTTTGCTATCTCTGGCAGGAGTGAGAAGGAGCCCTACAAGAACCCAGTCGCTTTTCCTCCAGAGCTGAAGTCGCGGATCTGGGACTTCTGGGATGTAAACTCCCTTCTGCAAGGAGTAAAAAGGAAATTCAAAGGTATTAAAACATGGCTGGAAGATTCTGCTCCCCTCCCCTCAAAACATGGTAAAAGCTGCAATGTGTCCATTTTGGTGGCCTGGCTAGCATTTCCTTAGTCTCCTTTTGCCTTGTTTCTCCACCTGGAAAATACCATAGTCTGGAGGTTTTCATTTTTGCATCGGGTTTTCACCCCCTAGAAAAAATTGGCATCCCCCACAGGCTTAGCAGTCCTGCTTTTCACTTGATCTCATATCACACACTCATGAAGCGAAAGTGAGCAGGTAAGCAGAACTTGGTGGGATGCCTGGAATTCCGCCACTGAGGGATGTGGCGTGTTCCAGATGAACAGAAGAGAAGTGGAGTTGCACTGTATGTTAAACATGCATATCTCTGCATGGAAATTCAGGAGGCCAGGCTTGACAGCCCCATGAAGGCACATGGATTAACATAAAGAGAGCAAAGAATTGAAGGAAACTGGGCTTTGAATCTACCACTGACCACCCAAGCTGAGGACAAGGACGAAACTTTTGAAATACAACCAACTGATGTTTCAGGGAAGCATAATGAGGTAGTAATGGAGATTTCAATTCCTCTGAGATAAGTTGGAAGCCAAATTCTGGCAAACACAGCCCCTTCAAGAAATTCTGGACTTGTGTTCCTGATAACTCCATCCTACTGAAAGTGGAGGAAGGAACCAGAGGATCCTTGACATAAATCCAACCCTGAGGGAATGTGAGTGTGTCCTACTTGAAATTTTAACTCTAAAGGAAGCAAAAGCCACTTGTAGCCAAATCCTTAATCTGCATTTTAGGGAAGCCAGTTTTGGTAATCTCAGAAGAATGATATGCCCAGTCCCCTAGCAAGCAGCACTAATAGGAAAAGGATCCAAGATGCATTGGAATTCTTAAAAAACAAAGGTGCAATTACTAACAATTTCAAGAAGAAAAATGGCGCAAGAAGCCAACATAATTTCACTAAAAGCTTAAAGTTGACCAGAAAAGGAAACGTATGGGGAATGGAGGGAAGGCCAGGAGCAGCACTGCAGCTTGAGAATGATAGCCAAAGGGCTGAGGAATGCCCAGTTGCTTTGCGCGGGTGCAAATCTCCAGGACTCGACGAGCTGCATCCCTGCACAATAAAACAGCTGGCAGATGAACTCTCGGAGCCCCTCTCTGTTATGCTTGAGAAATCATAGAGGACCGGTGAAGAGCCAGCTGACGGGCAGAGGGCTGGCCTGGTCCCTATCTTCAAAAAGGGAAAAACAGGGCAACTGGAACTGCAAACTGGTCAGTCCAGTATAAATGTCTGGGAAACTTCTGGAGCAGATTATAAAGCAGTCAGTCTGCAAACACATGGGGGGAAAAACGCAGTGATGACTAGAAGCCAACAAGGATTTGTCAAGAACAAATCCTGCCAGACTTTTCTGATCTCCTGTTTAAATCAGGTACCTTCCCTTGTGGACTGTGGGAATGCTGGGGATGGCAAGGTATCATGGGATGCTTGGCAAGTCCAGCTCTGAGTGGTTGCATGCTTAAAGAAAGGATCTCAGGAGAGCCTCTTCCAGAAGATCTGCCCCGAGGATCAAAGGACTGGAAGGCAGCCTGCAGGCCGTTCTGTCCAGCACTGAGGTGTGAGCTTGTCCCCCACGGCAGGCATTCCCTGTGCCCTCATGATTCCTCCGTTGCATTCAAGAAAAGCAGCACTGTGTGTCCGCATGTATTTAACTATTTCTTTAGAGCAGGGGTCCTCAAACTTTTTAAACAGGGGGCCAGTTCACTGTCTCTCAGACTGTTGGGACGGGGGGGGGGGGGAACGGACTATAGTTTGAAAAAAAAATGAATGAATTCCTATGCACACTGCACATTAAAAATAATTAAAATTAAAAATTAATTAAACAATTAAAAAATGTTTGCTCTGCTCCCTCGGGCTGCAGCAGAAGCCCAAGATGTGGGGAAGAGCATGACCATATTCAAGGGACACAGTTACAACACAACCAAGGCACTAAATATAGTATTTTGCATAATGCAGCTGATGACTACAACTGGAATTTACAAAGAATGAAGCAAAAATGCTAAGGATAAATACTGTTAATGCCTTTCTTAGTATTTGAAGCAAGTCAGCCCAGGACAATTCCTACAATACACAGTGGCTGTATTTGGATGCAGAGCTAATGACTGCCATATTTTAAGCGCAACCTTGCCAGATGAGTTGGACTACAACTTCCATTGGTCATGCTGGTTGGGCATAATGGAAATTATAGTCCTCGCTGCCACTCTGGTTCCGAGGGAGCAGGAGCGGAAGCGGGAGGCCGGAGAGGCGAGCGCAGGCGGCTCCCCCAGCCGGGAGAGGCCGCGAGGAGGGAGGCAATGGCTGGTTTCCAAGGCGAGGGGAGGCGAGGGATGGGGCCGCGGCTGGCCGAGCGGGGCGCCTCCTGCCTCTCCCCACCACGGGGAAAGAAGCATGGCGGCCGCTCGATGGTGGCAGCTTGCCCACAGAAGGCCGTGGCTCCCACAGCTCTGCCCGGGCACGTGGCTCACATACTTAAAATGGATTTTAAAAGTTTTATTTTGGTTACCTTCAATCCTTTCTTTGTCTTCATCTTTCTCTCTCTCTCTACCCACCCTCCTCTCTTCTGTTTCCCGCTCCATATTCCCGCCCTGTATATGCATGGAATTGGGGAGGGGGAAGCTAGCAATTGGGAGTGGCTGTTTCTCTCCACTCCCCCAGTCAGAGTGATGCCTGATTTACATCTTTCTTGTGGTCTAGAATCATGACAAAATTCTTTGAGCACTTCCTTTCCATATTTTGGTCTACAACTCCCATTATCCCCCAACATTGGCAACACTAGCTGGATCTGATGAGAGTTGCAGTGTTAACAGATGGAGGGCCAGATGTTCTCCACCCTTTTTCCCTAGATTACTGAAGTATAATATCTCCATACTGGGGCCTTCAGTTGGAAATGCGCGAACTCAGCCTGATTTCCCATGAGTTGGAGCTGGTGCCACCATGATAGGGCAAGAGGACGTAGCTGGGCCCCTGGTCTTGCGTACGAAGGAAGCGCGTGGCCAGACCCCCGTAGCAAGAGGAGCTGTCACAGGGTTGCCCATCTCTTGATCTTCACGGTGCCTGTGGGCCTTGTAACGGTGAGTGGGCTCCTCACTCTCTGGAGACGCCTGCAGCCATCCAGGCACCCGTTGCCACTTGCCAGGGGGTCACTGCAGGCTGCTTCCGCCACCCCCTCCAGGAGGGAGACTTCCTCCTTCGTCTGGGAAGGCATTAGTGGCCACTTCCCACAGGGCGCATTTAGGGGGGAGGGTGACTTCTCCCCTCCCCTGCCCCCTTCACTCATCCCGTTCCCCAAAGGAAGCAGGGGCTTCCAGGTGAGGGCCCCCAGCCATGCCAGTGAGTCCTGAGGCAGTTGTTGTTGTTGTTGTTGTTGTTATTATTATTATTATTATTACTACATTTTTATACTGCCCATAGCCAAAGCTCTCTAGGCAGTTGACAGCAATAATCATAGAATCATACACTCAGGTCACCCATCCCACTTCTGCCCAGGCCTGACCCTGGTTTTTCCTGAACAGGGTCTTAGACAGAAGGGGTTGTGGAAAACGGGAGTTTATGAATGGAAGATGGTATGTGGAAGAGGGGGGTCTGGCTTGTTGCCCGGGAGATGGGAGAGAATGGAGGGGAGGGGGAATTTGGTCATCCTGGGTGGGTAATAAGGAAGAGGGAGGGAAGGTAAGGAGAGGTTTGGGGAAATCTACTTGCGGAACTGTGAATTCTGCCTTGAGCATTTGGGTTAAGTTGCTGTTTTTATACTGTGCTGTTCTCATTTTACTGGATTTGTGAGGGAATCTGTGATTCCTGTGGGGTGTAAATAGTTAAGATGTAGCTCTTTATTGTTCCTCTTCTCTTTTCTTCCTCTCTCTCTCTCCATCCCCACAGCAAATGTGACCCTGGATCCAGACACCGCTCATCCTTGTCTCCTCTTGTCCGAGGATCATAAAACTGTCAGGATGGGACACAAAATGCAAAAAGTGCCTGACAATCCGAAGAGATTCAGCTACTACACTTTTGTGCTGGGCCGTGAGGGATTCACAGCTGGAAGACACTCCTGGGAAGTCCGTGTGGGAAGTGAGGGAGCCTGGGCTGTGGGTGTCACCAGGGAGTCTGTGGACAGAAAGGGTCTGGTTTATTTTTGTCCTGAGGATGGTTTCTGGGTTTTGTTGTATTCCCAAGGTACATATGAAGCTTGCATTGATCCTTCTTCTGCTCTGCCCGTGAGTGGGGAGCCGAAGACAATCCGGGTGTCTCTGAACTGTGATGGGGGGTGGGTGGCCTTTCATGATGCTGACAGAGGGTCCCTCCTCTATGTCTTCTCTGGGGTCTCATTTGCAGGAGAGACCCTTTTCCCCTTCTTTTATGTTGGTGATGATGCCCTCCTCACGATCAGTTCTTAAGGCCGCCAGGAGCCTTCATGGCACGCCCTACTCTCCAGACAGCAAAGATTCCTCTAAAACTGACACCTTTTTCCCAGTCAAGGGCCAGTTTTCCCATCCTGCAGAGCCCCCAGAAAGGTCTCCAATCACAGCAACAAAATAAAACAAACCTCTTTATTATCAATTGGTTTCAAGATTAAAAAAGGAAACTCAAACAGGAAAAAACCCTATAAATAAACATCAAAAATACCATCTCCTGGGATTAATTTATAAATTATTGCTGAAACATGATACTGAAACTGAACAATATAAAATATTGATGAAGCGCTGGTCATGGTATGTCGAAGAAGAAATACTATCACATCAATGAGAAGCTTTGTGATACATACAAACGATATACAATTCACTGCAAGTCAAATGTTAAAGGAAAACTAGTATAAGATATATTTTCAGTGGTATATTACCCAGAAAGATATACAGACAATGGGTAAGAACTTTAATGGAAAATGTTGGAAATGTAAAGACAAAGATAGGACATTTTACCACATGTGGTGGATATATGATAAGAACTAAAAGGTTTTGGAAGCAAATACATATGGAAATACAGAAAATACCTAAAACGGACTTTCCAATGAATGCCAAGAATATGCTATTGAGTATTGTACCAGAGACTATCCCAAAGATTATGGCAGAGTTATTTAAATACATGACAGCAGCTGCAGGAGTGATAATTGCTTTAAAGTGGAAAGCTGAAGGCTGTCCAGCTGCTGAGGATTGGAAAACCAAGTTAGCTGACTATAATATAATGGTGAAATTAACTAACTACATTAGCAGAAGATCAGTCAAAGATTGTATTCAAAGATGGAAAGCTTATAATGAGCAATTTAATAAATTGTTAAAGAAAATAGGGCTATTTAAATAAATGTTAGTAATTAGTACTTTAAAGTAAAAGCAATAGACTAGGCAAATTTTGTCTGACTGAAAATTGAATTGTTGGGATGGGATTACAGCCAATGAGATTTTCGCTTTTTTATTAATATGTTTAAGTGTTGATACCACATGCTAAATTTGTGGATTGACCCTTGGCACCTTCCTTATCTATATTCCAATTCCTTTCTTATTGAATGTTGTGAAAATAAATGTAATATATATATATATGTATATATTTAAAAGGCCTCCAATCAGTCACCAGAACAAAATGAACCAAAAGAACCCCCCCCGCCCCCATGCCAGATTTTCCTCTCCAGCTTTCTTTTCATCCACAGAGATCCCTTGGTCATGGCCCCATTTCAGTGCATTTCAGCTCTTGCTTCGGTTTCCCTCCTTTCCCTTCCACAAGAACTCCAGTGCATGCAAAAGGGGTAAGGCAAAGACAAAACAGAGCACCGTCTGGGACATGCCTGCCTTCACTTGCATGCGCCATCCCTGTTTGCTCTCTCGGGAGCCTCACTTGGCCTTTCAGCAGAAATACAGCGGTACCTCGGCTCACAAGCGCCTCAGTTCACGACCAAATCGGGTCATGAACAAAAATTTCATGAAAATGTTGACGTGGGTCCTGAACTCCACATTGGGTGGCGACCAAGATTGCAGCCATCTCCCCACCCTGTGGGAATTCATTGCTGGGTCATGCTGTACTCACGTACCACACGAAGACCAAGAGTATTGTAATTTACTTATGTAACCATATAAGGCTTGTAACCATATAAGGCTTGTAACCTAAGCATTAAGGTGTTGGCTGCTTGTATACGATGGCTAATTGGCTGTATTCAAATGCCTAGGTAAAAAGTGTGAAGTAATAAAAGCAGATGCCGGTGGTGAGGGGGGAGAAGGAGAAAAAACTTGGGGAAGAAGAAAAAACCTTGGGGGAAGAAGTTTTTGCTGTTCTCCCCCTGCAACTAAACCGAGCATGCTTTGTAACTG